CTCCCGTGTTGACCCAGCTTAATGCCTGAAACTCTGGAACGCGTTAAGTTATTTTAATTGGCTTCCCCCCCGAAATGCAATTTGGTTTGAGAGGGAAAATATTTTAAATTGTGATTTGCTTCAACCACACCGTAAATAGTTGGATACTAACTTTGAATACGATAAATTATCGTAGTGTCCTTCTGCATTGCTTAGACTGTCGGCACTGAGAAGGACACAGAAGAATTTTCATGACTCAGTCTCAAAATAAACGCTCAAGGGTCACATAATTCTTCCTGTAGTTTACGTTATTTGGTCGAATGGAGGTAGGTGTGCAACTCCACGCTATGTTTGTGAGTATTAGACTAATTATTTTACGCATTCAGTATGTGAAGGTCAGTTTTCTTCTGTAAAATGTTTCATGAACTCTCGTGCTTTTTAAAAAAAACCCTGCGAGATGAAACGAGTAAAGATCTGCAAATAACACGGGGACACTATTGACAGTTACGTGTTTGAGCTGCTAGAGCATGCTTGTAAATTACAACGCAAATAAAAGATAACACATACGGTAAATTGTTAACGTGCCCAAAACCGGAAATCGAGTTTTAATAATAACAAAAATCGGAATTCGCATCGCCGAGTTCGCTGAAGACTTGCCTCAGTTTAGTTGTTTATAATCCATGCAACCCCGTTAAAAAAATCCTTTGTTTCGTTTCCTGTTTTGTGAGAGCCTGGGGTGGGACGGGGGTGTTTCCACACAGTAGAACAAATTTGTGTAGCTGAAAACCCAGACTTTCTTCAGACGTACATTCTGAATTAGTGAACACAGGATTTTATTTCTTGTTTGGTTTTTGCCGACTGAACAAATATTTAATGTCATTATACTAATTCTAAAGCTACAAAGGACATCCAATTAGTCATGTTGTTTAGTTTCGATACCGTGTTGATATACTCTTAAGTTATAGGCTCGTAATAGGCCAAACTAAATACGTGTGTCCTCTGATGCCATTAAAACGCGATTAGGTTGAGGATTTGGAAGGGGACCGTTCAGTGTTCGAAGACACTCTTCTGGTGTTCGCCGTGGGATACTTTCCCCGGCTATTAAACATACACATTTGTATTCGTCATTTCGACATTTTGAAGTTAACTTTGAACTGACGTGATAGAAGCGTTAATTCTGTAGAAAAACAAATAACATTAAAATGGGTCTGGAGGATTGGATTCATCCGGTTCAGTATGGGGAGCGTTGGTTGCTGTTGCGCACGCATTCATCGCCCTGAAGATGGAGGGAGCAAAGAGGTCCGAAACTTTGGTTAACTTCTACCAGACTGCATGACGCTACAACCCCGAAGACAGCCATCTTGGTACTCACAGACGTAAAAAAAACCTCAAGCCGAAGACAGCCATCTTGGTACTCACAGCCATAAAAAAACTCAAATCTTACACATTAATGTGATGAACATTCGGATTTCGAAAAAAAGGCAAGAAAGATTTTGATCAGGTGAACCTACTTTCGGTTTCTCGAAAATAATTCTTTTCCATAGAGTTTTTACGAATTTAGCCTAATCGTTCTAACTGTAAGCTCGTCATTATGCTAGTTTCTCCCGTAGGTTCAAAAATTCTCATCAGCACGTTCTTAAATGTCCTCGTCGGTGTTCTTTTTTTCCGAGTAAGATCATAGTCCAATACAAGATGACGCATAATTAATCATCGCATTTTAAATAACTGGATTTTTAATTAGTCAGTTTTTTAGAATAAAGTAGAGGCTTGGGAAACGATATGGCAAAATAGGGTTTAACGGGCACTTCTGTTACTGTTGCGTGTTTTGAAACGCATTTGAATTCAACACATAACAGAAAATTAGACAGGAGTCCAGAGCGTAGTAGATCTAACACTGTCCCAAGTGATCAAGTTGAAGATGAATTGGTACAGTCTTTTTATGTAACTGAAACTGAGGCTTATAGGCTGTTTACTACCCACAGAATCGCATTTATTTATTCTTTTACACGAATCATTTAGTCTCGACCTAGGCCGATGACTGTTTTCGCAAGAGGCATCGTTTGTGCCGTACTTGGAAAGAGTAGTTTGCTTTAGTTAGCTTGGCCTCAGAGAGAGAGCGTTGCATTCTCTGCCTTCGTGGGGAGAATGGCTAAATACTTAAGGAACGAAGAAGTTTCTCGTCCGTTTCAAACATGATATTATTCCCTCCTTTCATAAAAAGGTAAATGATATATACACAGTCACGCGTCGTTTGCCTCGCTTTTTTCCTTAACTTTTGGCATTATACAAGACTTGATGCGTAACTTTTCGACTTTCAGGCGAAAGGTAAGTAGGATATCTGCAGACACAACAAATGTGCTGCGTTAGTGTTTTGACTGATATGGAGACCCCAAGAAGGCGAAGTTTATTAATCAGAAAGTACGTACACATGTATGCATGTATGTATATAATTACGTTTCAGACAGAATACTTTGAGATGGTACCACGCACAGCAGTGTTAGTGCGTGCTGTAAAGTGAATGGGGGAATACTCTTACGAATTCAAGTAAGACAAAGTCCTTATTACTTTCAACATCAAATATGGAGGCAATGTATTCCTTCGAATCGTTTCGTGTCTTCTCAGACGGAGTTACATCTCAGAAGACCCGACATCAACATTTGTATCATGTTGATGTGTTTTTGTAATGTCGTCGGCCTGTGATCGTTATTAAATTCTCAATTTTTAAATAGTAAATCGAAACAAATACTACAAAGTATTTTAACTCACCTGAAAATTTACATAAATATCAAGTAAGATATCTGGTCTGAATAATATTTATTGTACTTTAGTCTGTCTGTCCATTCTTATATTATAAAATAAGAGTTGTGACATCATTAGACAATTATACGTTTGATTTGGTATTTTTGAAGTATGTTATTACAATTTCGCTCTTAAAGAAAGTAATTAGCAAGATTATGATTAATTTTATTTTTAATTCTAATATACCAATTACGTGATAGGCAAAGCGAGAGATGACGGCGTTATGAACTGAACATTTGCATTCGAAATATTTCTGCTCAGGCGGACAGAAACGGACAGTTTTCATTTTGGACGAATTGTTATAATAATGTGTCATATTCTCGGTGTTTATATGAGCGCGTCTAAAATACGTTAGAGCACGTAATATGATGTATTAGGAATCAGCTTTGAATTTTTAAGGAACCAATCTGGCAGTTGTGACGTTAACTTTGAGAAACTGTACCCCATGTGGAGTGGAGCCATTGTTCTTGGGGACAGAAATGGCTTCTGACGCAGGCAACCAATTTCAAAGGGGAAAGGTAGCATTATGCATGTCTCATAAGTTAGGGGTCATGGAGGATCCGGAGAACAACTCTGTTATTTTGCGAAATACCGGAGAAATATGAAGAAAGAGAAATTGATGCAAATCATGTGTTGGAGATTTTCTTATCTCGGAAAAATTCTTACTGCGCCACGCCCTTTAGATCATCACTTATAGAAATTATGATAATTTTTTTTAAATATAATATTTTGATTTTCAGATAACATTATTGGTAAATACATTTTAATTTTTTTTTCCAAATCAATTTCAATGTTCCGGGAAACAATGCAAATATTAACATTTTTTTTTTTCCAAATCAATATCAAAGTTCCGGAAAACAATGCAAATATTAAGACGCTTCATTTTGTATTAAGTGCAATAAATACACCGGAAGTGTGTCAGAGGCCTACGTTGATCAATGCCGTCGCCGTATTTATGAATCAATCGATCAAGGGAACAATTCCACGGACGTCATACACATTCGTACAAGGGTGAGGCTGAGGGCCATGAATCTTGTTCAACTCCGCTGAACTGATCTAGCCCGTGCGTAATTAGTTGCAGTGTCCGCATGGCTACGGAAATTGACTTGCCGGTGACACGGGGGCGGGGGGGAGGTTAGACACACGAACACAGTGAAAGGGAATAATGGTGAGACGAAACGAGGGTAAAGGAGGGGAGAAAAAACAAGTGAGCGAGATGGGATGCGACATGAAGAGTATCGATTGCATGGCATCGCATCCCATTGCTATACCACTCAACGGGGGACCTGGGGAAAAGCACCAACTAGCAGAAGGACGAAGTATAGGTTATGGGGTTTTAGAGGGTGTGTGTGTGTGGGGGGGGGGGGGGGGGGGGGTACGAAGCGGAAAGTAAGGGATGTGTTGATGACGGGAGTCGCAAGAGAAACCTTGTGTGTGTGTGTGGTAATTGGCACATTGCACAACGCTGCTTCCCAGGGTCTGCGTGCGACCCTCGAATTGACATCATAGAAGCAGTAACGAGATCCTATTCGACACGTTCCGATCCTGTTTACAAAACCGGTTCACAGAATTCATAGCTTAAAATACATTGCATTATACGACACCGAGAAACGGAATGCAGATCTCTAGAAACGTGCTTTTCAACTCGATCTCTTATTGCATCTTGTAAGGACGGACTGCAATTATACATATGAAATTTGAGGTTAGCATGACGGGAAGGATAAAGACATTCTTCTGAGTTTTGGCCCCATATAGACTCGTTTCGGAGGAACATGCTGCCTCAATCTTCAATCCAGAATGTTTCGGAGAAACACATCATCTTAGTAGGATTTCAGATCTTCACGGCGATGAGTATGAAGATGGCTGTCTTCATCGCCCTGATGATGAAGGCAGTAAGGACTTCTGAATCGTCGGTAAACTTATACCAGACTACACGTAACAACCGAGAAGACATCCATCTTCACACATCTTCATATTCATGGTTGAAGATGGAGACAGAATGTTCTTCCTAAACGCTGGCAACTACCGATAAGTCTACACTACCAGAAGAACAACATTACGATAAAACACGCCGTCTTCAGATGGTAGTTCAAGTCCTCTTCTGTGGTCGATAATGTTGCTGGAAACGTCGTTCAATGACTGTAATTCCTTCAATAATCTTGAATTAGGCCAGTAACCTGTTCTGATTTAAAATTAAGTTCTGAAACATTAATCTCTTTCAGATATTCGGTATGGATGCTTGCGCAGCGAACTGCCCAACACAAAATTCTGACGTACTCAGGACATTCCCCACTTCTTCAGTTCGGTGAGTAGAGAATTGCCTTTTCTGGCCTAATTTGTACACCACTCTATCTCTTCCTTGGTCATCCTTATGTCTCA